TGCCAGAGCACCATCAACTATGAAGTCAGAGGACTCTGCAAAACAAGATCAAATTGCCTGAGCCTTGGTTGAGTGTGCTCGGCTTCTATCCTTACAGTCTTTGTAGCCATGGGTAGAGCTAAACCGTATGGCACTATGATGGCTGGGACTAATGTAATTATACCAATGACTTGGGGACCCCCAGCAACCATGTAAAAAGTGAGGTGTTCTTGTAATCCCAGTACTGGGACAGCCAATAGAAGTGAATCCCTGGGGCTCCCTGGCCAAGCAGCCTAGCCTATTCTGTAAATACCAGGCCAGTGAGAGACCCTGTCTCAAAAATCAAGGTGAACAGTGCCTGATAAACTCACTGAAATTGACCTCCGGCCTTCATCAAACACATACACCCTTACATACATGTGCGCACACACATACACCGCACACACACAGACAAGGTGAATTCAACCAGGGTCAGTGAGCATTTTTTTTGTGATCTAGCATGCTGCCACAATCACTCTATCACACTCTCAAAAGCATTGATTCTGCATCAGTTCCTGGGGCTCTGTAATCGCAAAGGCTTCATATGTAAATGAGTCCCTCTATATGTAAATGAGCTCCATCTTTGGGCAAGATGACCAGAGTTTATCTGGGACTTCAGAGAACTCAGAAAACATTTCCACTCCCTTTTTTAGGGGAAAAAAAAAAAGATTTGGTATACTCTTTGTTCCCAGCTTCCTAAAGGAAAGAATGACACAGGAAAGTCTTTGACTCAATGATTCTAAGACGGGATCGCAAGAATCCTACTTCTTTCTAAAAGACAAAGACTATCCTCTCCCCTACTGTCCTTCACATCCTGCTAGTCCAGGGTGTAGATCTGCGGCTGCATTTCTGTTTCCTACAAAAACACTGACAGATAGACATCCCAGTACAGTGAGCCCCAAGTATGTCCAATACCGTGAAGCAAGCAGCCTGAGACAGAATGGCTTACTCTATTTTACAGCCTCTCATCTTCTGACATTCCTCCAACTTGTGTGAAACCATCAAAAAGAGACTCTGATCGATCAGTTCATGACAAGGGACAGGGATTTAATTTCTGACACTCGGCAATAAGGCAGATTTCCTCAGCAATCTCAGCTCCAGGAGAGATTGTCTTCTCACCCTCCTCTTCCCAAACCTCATTTCAATTGAACACTATCACAGAGAAGCTTACCAATTAAATCAAGATGTCTCAATATTACAGAAGAGAGATTCTTAAATGCAATAACAGCGTTTCTCAGCTGTGTTTACAGCCTTGGACATTGCTAGTTAAGTACCCCTAAGGAGATATTCTAGGAAGAGTTTCACTTTGCACAATTTCAATTCACTTCTTGAACAACACATTTTTCTCAGCATGAATAGTGTGCAGGAATGAAAGCCTGGGTTGGTCTCCAGCCCAAGAAATAAAGAAAAAAGATTATCCTTGGGAGAACTAGTCAGATATATTAGAAATATCACTGGTGTTTTTTTCTAAACCTGTTAAATATATGTATAGCATAAGTGAATATACAGGTACATATATGTGCCGTACACTAAGCATGAACAAGAAACAGCTCCCATTTGACAGACACTTGTCTGACTTAGCCAAACACAGCATGTGTTATTTGGCTTATTTTTTTATGCTTACAAGGGCCTCCAGGGTGGGTTTTGTTCCTGTCACGGCGGTAGATACCATGGTTTTGGTAAGCTGAGCAGATGACATCAGCTGGGACCCCCCAAACTCACATTTAAATCCCTTGTGACTAAAGCCAACATCCATGTAACAACCATACTGTAAGCCATCTATCCTGATGGGCACCACCATTGCTTAAGACCAGATGAGCCCCTCTGGGCCCAACTCAGCATCACTAAATTCTTCATATTTAACTCTTCTGAGTTTTGTTCCTTTTATAATAACATCATTAAACATCCACCCTCGAGCAGCTGTAACAAATTATCTCATGAAGAACACTCAAGCCATACCCTACCCTAGCTCGAAATGGGGATGTGTTGGCTTCTAGGTAGGTGAGAAGTATTGACTATCATGGGTTCAGTGAGTCCAGGCCATTGGCTTTTCAAGGAACGTCTCTTCTGGGTTATGCACCACACTAGTCAGCCACAGGAGACCTGCCTCATGTGTTTAAAAGAGTGGAGGTCTGCAGGAGGGAGGTTTTAGGTAGAGACTGGGAGAGCTGGGAAATGCAATGTGGGGGAGGGGGATACCTGCACACACTGACAAAGGATAAGAACTGTGGGGCTGGAGAGAGGGCTCAGCAGCTGTACATGCTGCTCCTGCAGAGGACCAGAACTGAGTTCCTAGCACCCATGTCAGGCAACTCATCACTGCCTACAACTTCAGCTCCAGGGAATCTGTGCCTTTTCCTGACTGATACTGACACTGCGTACATGCAAACACAAATACACACACACACACACACACACACACACACACACACACACACACAGAGAGAGACAGAGAGACAGAGAGACAGAGAGATATTAAACTTTTTTAATTAAAAAAATGGCAGAAGTCTACACAAGAATCTCAGGAAGACTCCCCAGCACACTGTGGGACCAGGAACTTGAGAATTTCCTGAGCAGAGCAAAGGAACAGGCAGGGGAAAGAGCTAACTGAGAAAGCGATGCTGGAGGACCTCCCGTGTAATCAAAGAGTAGGAAAAATTATAAAGCAGGGGATAGAAGGTGCAGGCAGGCAGGATGAGGCAGCGATCACAGGGTCACAGAGCCACACTGAGATCCACATCTTTCCCAGGCCTGAGGAGTAACAGAAGATACCTGAGCAAGGACCTGCAGGACGCAGTTTTTGGCTTTAAAAACATTTTGTCAGCAACAGGACAAAGGATGAGGGGAGACTGAACACAGGAAGCACCTTACCTGGTAAGTGGCAGGAAAGAATGAAGTCAGAATAACAGCAGTGTGAGTGAAAAGAGGGATGACCATGGGACTGAGACAGTGATGAGGACGCATGGGAGGACACACTCCACCCGAGGAGGAGAACTGGTCTGGAGAAGGAGAGGATGAGAGAACTAAGGGAGGAAATTCTATTTCAGATGTGTGAAATTTGTGTGTCCACGAGGAGATCAGACATGTGTGACAAGCAGGTGGAAGTGCAGGGCGGGGCTGATGGGAAATCCCAAGAATTTGCAACCAGTGGGGTGTCAGTGGCCGCCATCATTCTTGGAGAGAGATTTGAGTAGGGCTGTTGACTGACGCCAAGGTATGCTAGGCCGAGGCATGAAGGGCAAGTGTCCCACATTACTAGTGAGTGGTTTCTAGCTCTCCCATGGGTGAGTTTTCAATTCCTTTCAATGGGCTGAAGCTGCCCAGGACAAGAATGCGACACTAAGCCTCAGGGCCAGGTGGCAGGTGCGACCAGGCAAGGGGGTGCTGCACTAAAACTGCAAGGTTGAGAGAAAGCCTTGCCAGACAGAGAGCTGTCCCCATGTCCTTGGAAGTCACTTAGAAGCTGCTGGAAAACACAACAGCTCCTTCTCTTTAACCTGGGGCTGTGGGGAGCTCTCAGGTTTTCTCCTGGCTGAAGGCCTCTGCTTATTTTCCATGGATTAACGCTTCCAAGTGAGTGAGAATTGACTTGCCAAGCAGTCTAATTCACTTGGCTGGTGTGTCTCACTTAAAAATCCATTAACAAGTCAGACTAGAGGGGTAAAGGATGTCCAATTAAAGCAATCGCTGCCACATCCAAATGCCTAGCAGCTGTGCCATCCTCACACCACCAGCGAGCTACAAAAACACGATTTTACCACTTCATGGAGAGCACCACCAAAACTTGGTCTGAAGCCACTGAGGCCTGAGAAGAGTGGAGAGAAATGACAAGGCACCAGCTCTGTGTGTTTCCATTATGGGAACCCAGAGAGAAACAGCTCTGCATTCGCCTGAGCTTCCCTGGTGGCAGCCCCCAAAGCAGGATCATCAAGGGAGACTGAGTGGAGCTCCTCACAAGCAAAGTTTGTTCACATCGCCCCAGGGAGGCAAAAAGACGGGCAGAATAATAAGCTTCTGCAAGTCTTCTGGGTGAATACAGAAGATATATAGATGTTTTTATAATGGAAAAAAGGAAAATAAACAAGCATTCTGGAAAATGAAAAAATTGAATAGACATTTATTTAAAGATATAAAATGATTAGAAAACACATGAAAAGGTGTTTAACACTATTAATCAGCAGAGAAATGTAAATAAACCCCACAGGATACCACAGCATGGCTAAGCTTAGAAGAATGGACAATAAAGAGTTTGGACACAAATGTGAAGAACTGGCATATCTCATATACTCCGTGTAGGATTGTCAAGTGATGCTGCCACTTTGAAAATATTTTGGTAGTTCAACAAGAGTTGCCACACAATATCATGCTCTGATCCCAACTATACACCCAAGAGAACCGAAAACATCCACATACAACCTGCACCACTGTTAGAGGGACATCATCACTAAGTAGTGCCAAGTTGTGAGTGAATAACAGATGATAAAGTCATATATGGACCATAAGTGACAGTAAATCAACGAAGCAGGGACTGGAGACAGTCAAAAGCACACGCTTCTTTTGCAAAGTACCCAAGTTCAGTTCCCAGCACCCATGCTGGGCAGCTCACAACCCCCTGGAACTCCAACTCCAGGGAATCTGATGCCCTCTCCTGCCTCCCTGGGCAACTGGCCCTCACACGCACATATCTACACACCAACACACAATTAAACACTGAGGTTTTAAAAAGCAAAGACTGAAGCGTTAATATAAGCTATAATATACATTAAGCAAGATATGTTGCAAGAATCTATTCACAAAAAGCCACATGATTTCATCTGTGGAACTGTCCCCAGCTAGCAGCTCTATGGTCACAGACAGCACAAGTTCTCAGGGGCTCGGCAAGATTGATAACAGGTTTTTAGTGTTTAAATGATCAAGGAATATAGAAATCAGTCGTGAACCACATGATTTAAACTGATAGATTTTAAGGCGGGGGGTTGTACCTCAGTTTCTTCTTTTAAGAGAATGCGAGGATCACATGAGAAGTTAGCAGCCTCCTTCCAGAACATGAGAGGGAACAGTGGTTCCTCAAGAGTCTTGAGACCCACATGGAGAGGGCAGCCAGCCTTTGAGAGGAAGAGATAAAAGCCGCGTGTCTCAGCAACTTCCGGCTCCTAAGTGGCCTCACAGGAGGCAGCTTCTCATCTTCTGGACCTGCCCTCCTCTTTCCCTCTTTGTGTTCATGAACAAATAAGGGCAGGCAGGAAGAGAGGGAGAGAGAAGAGGGCACTGAGGGGAGTGCCTTGGTTAGAAGGAAACAGCAGCTACAGGGTTTGATGGCACCTCCCTAACACCAGGAGCTGAGCCAGGGACCCGCCATCAGGCAGGGGCTGCTTGTCATACACACTTGCTCAAGGAGGTGGAGGCATCAAGGAAGGCTGGAAGGCAGAACAAAAGCCTCAGCTTTCACGGAGCAAATACACCTCAGAAGGCTGATATTCTTTTTCCTGAAGGTGAAACAAACGAATTGATTTCTAAATGAGAAAATTCAAAGCCGGTGTGGCTAGTGATTATGCAAGCTGCTTCCGGATGAAAGGGAAGGGTGGGTGAGGAACAATGGCAGCTATTCACTGAACAACTACATCCCAGATCTTTAACCCAGTAACAGCCTCCGAAGTATAAAAAACATTTCTATTTCAAGAAATCTGGCCTCTCAATTCCTACTACCCAGGCTGACCCACATCCGCAAGAATTAAAAGACGTCTGCGTACACTACAAACTAACACTTTAACGTTCACGGGAGGGTGTCCCACAGGAATGTGAGACAGATTAATTTTAATTTTTCCAAGGTCCTGTGTAAAGATGAAAAGGAGGGGCTGGGGAAAGGGCTCAGTAGAAGGAGCTGCTTGCCAGCAAACCTGAGACCACGAGGTCAGTTCCTAGGCCCCACTCGGTAGAAGGAGACGGAGAAAAGGAACTGCCGTCTACAAGTTGTTTTCAGCTCCGTGTGTGCAACGGTGTGCCACACCCACGCATGCAGAAGACGTGAATCATTGAAGTTCAAAAAGTTAAAAGGAGGAATTTCGATAATACACTTTATTTCACCAACTAGAGCTAAAATATTTTCATTATGGCATGAAGTCAACAAGCTGTAGGCCTTGTGTACATCTACTTCACAAATGAGTCTGTCAGATACGCTAAGCCTGTAGGCCGAAGATGATGCAGAGAAACCTCGGGTGACTGACTGCCCAGGCAGCTGGCTGTTTCTGTCAATTCACTGTTTTTGGAAGTCACTTCTTTGCACTTATTGTTTTACTAGGTAATAATATTTCCCTCTTGGGTCTCTGAGGGAGTTGAAGATTAGATATTTGTAGTAACATCACAAGATAGTTTTCTGTTGGTAATACAAGTTAGAATAGAAAGTGAATTAGGTACATTTTGGACTCACCAAAATAGAATAGGTAATGGAATATTTTCTCTGAATTTGTCAATGCAAATGGACTAGACATTGTTGATATGTTTATTTATTACTTGTATATATTGTATATAGTTATTGTACTTATTGTATATAGTTTTTATTATATTAGTTATAACTTTATTATTTATTTTTATTAGACAAAAAAGGGGAAATGTGGTGATATTTTATTTGTATGTTAATAAATAAAGTTTGCCTGGAAATCAGAGGAAATAGCAAGCCACTAACACAAAAGTCAGGCAGTGGTAGCACACGCCCTTAATCCAATCACTTGGCAGGCAGGGTCTCTGTGTATTCAAGGTCATACTAGGGAAGGGAGCCAAGAGTGGTGACACACGCCTTTAATACCAGTACCAACCATAGAGACCTGGAGGTCTGTACAGACAAGCAGTGACAAGGAAGTGAAGTAGCTGGGCTAAGAGCCAATGAGAGGGCAGAACATCAAGGCATATAACGGCGTGGGTAAACAGGAAGCAGCTCACATTTTGGAAGCTACAGAGCTGGTGAGGTAAGGTGGTTGGTGGCTCTCACTATTTCCCTGATCTCTAAGGCTTTCACCCCTACATTTGGCTCCATGTTCTTTATTTAATAAGACTGCTTAGAAATTCCTCTACATGTAGTGAGCCTGTAGAGTCTGTACAGTGTCTGCTCCCAAAGGACGTCAGCACAGACCAACCCGAGTTCAGGTCCTCAACAGAAGCATCTCTGTGGATAGTGAATTCTGAAGGACTCACAAATTCAAATTCTAGCGCCCACTCTGCTAACTAACCTTCACAACTCTTCCTAGACACCAAGTGCTGGTGGGGTTCTTGACCCACTGAGTTGAAGAGTCACACAAAATCACACAGAATATCATGTTTCCCCTTTTGATCAGGAGAAGAAGGGTGAACGAATAATCAGAAAGATCATGTAGCCATTAGGTACAAAATCATCTTAAACTCTTAAATGCAGTCGTGCCTCTAAACTCAAAAGCACTTTGTACTTAGGTACAGTCAGACTTGGAGATAAGAGAGAAAATCAGAGTGCTGGGGAAGAGGAGAGACCAGAACAAAAAGACCCAGTGTTTTGTGGCTGATGTGGTTCACAAGAGTTTGTTTAAAAATATATCATTTTCATTTCTGAGTATATGTGTGCATCATACCATCCTCCGTCCCTCCCTCCACTCCTCCCTCTTCAGCCCCCACCCCAAAACAAAAACAAAAATACAAAAACAAGTTCATGTTATTGGGAGGGAAGAGGACTTGCCTCACAGATCATTTAGAGACTTAGGCAGGTGGGACGCTTCAGCTGACTGGAAGCCAAAGTTATTTCAGCCACTGAGCTCCTCATCCCCATTCCTATCACATCCCCAGCCAGCTGCCAAGAGCGGGCTGAGGGCTCAGAAAGCCATGAGAACCTACGGACCGGCCTGGGTGAGGCATGCATCATGCCTCTTTATAATGGACTGAGTGAGAAGGGACACTGAGGAATGAAGACGATTGGACTAGACAGGGGAGAAGGAGCCTGAGAGGACAGCCAGCTGTTTGTTCTCGCGATGAACTAACGATGATCTGAAGAGGCCGAGAGGGAGCCTGTGGCGAAGAAGTAAAACTAATGAGAGACTGCACAGACCAGAGGGTGGAGAGGTGCTCACGCTGCCAGTACTTGGGGTACTATAAACCACGATCCGTTTTCCATGTGTTCTCACAATTACTCCTAAGATGGCTGCAGTGGGTACCACTTTCTCAATTAAAAAAAAAAAATTGGAGAAAAATGGGGAGGAAAATCTAGCTACCATTTACTGATGGACAGGACTGCAGCAGGTCATGTATACTCTGTGATTTTATTCAATATTCCCAACAAATCTATGGACCCAAACTTAGTTCTCAGTTTGCATTTAAGGAACCTATGACATAAAAGGTTGAAGTAACCTTGCCAATGTCATGTCACACAGAGACAGTTCCTGGAGTTCAACGCCCACGGGAATATGAAGTGCCAATGCTTTCCATAGAAATGAGCCAGAATACAAAAACTTGTGGCTAAGAAGTAGAAATGATTCTTAAGGGAAGGAAGAAAATACAGAAGAAAAAATTAGAGGAAGGAGGCCATAGAAGACCTTTCTCTTAATCTCCATCCCCACCCTGCATTTAATTTTATAAAACTGTTGTGTCTGGAGGATGTTTCCTGGAGGAGAATCAAGGCGTCTCTATCATGTCTACTCCCAGAGCCCCTCGGAAAGGGTGTACCAGGGGAAGGACCCTTCTCCAATCTGCTCTCCTGCATGGTCAGCTAGTCTTTCAGATACTTCCTCCTAGGAAGCATGAAGAACTGCTCATGGGCTCCAGGTGTGAGGACCCAGGATACTGTAGTGGGCTGCTGTGACAGTCCCGCCCATCCCTCTGGGGCCCAGAGTGCCCTTGTTCATGTACCTTCTTGCTAATGACTTTCTAAACTGGGACAATGTGTGATACAGGAGTAGACTTAGTGGCAAAGTAAGGCTCATTATCTATAGCACGGCCAACTGAAAGACCTTCACACCCAAACACAGAGTCTAGACCAACAAACCCACGGGAGATGGTTGCTACTATACAGCCAGGCACATCTACAAGGGCTATTTTCTGCACTTGAAAATCTCCTCTCTCACCCTGCTTCAACTCTCTGACCTGAAAACACTCCAGCTCCTTCAGAGCTGATGTCCAAAGTTAATCTCCATAGTAGGATCCTCCCTCTCTGAGCCCTTGAACTCAGTTTACAATCTGTAAATACAATAACACAACCTTACAGCTGGCCTTGCTCTCCCACCATCTCCTGAGCTCACATGCCAAGCTCCTGGGCACAGATCATCAGCCCCAGGCCTGGCATGGAACAGACCTTCCACAAAAATCTGCAGAGTGCCAGCAAAGGAAGGCTTCCGAGCAGTCCAAGATGGCCTCCTTAGTTGCTGGAGGCCTGCAGCTAGTTTCAAGAGGCTGAGCACTCCTGGATGAAGGCTGCCTCATGCTGTGCTGTGGGCATCCTCTCGTACATTTTTCATTCTCCATAATGACTTCTTCTTATCATGCATTTTATTGATCTGTCTGAGCAATGAAATTTATTATTTATTAGATTTCTGTAATAGCTTTGCTCCAAAGAGCAAAGTAGGATATGCAGACACTCCAAGGCAACACAAGGGAAGAACAGAACCAAGGAAACTCAGAGGTGATGGAGACCAGGGGTCTGTAGTGAATAGAGACCGGGGTCTGTAGTGGATGCTGGGGAAAAAATTGCAAGGAAGGTCACTGCCTCAGAAAGATGGAAGGTCACTGCCTCAGAGAGATGGCAGACAAGTCCAGCTGCAGGAGCCTGTGACAACAGGCAAGTTCCTGGCTCCTGGGCTTGTCTGACCCCTGACAGTAAAACCACCAGGGAAAACACTCTGAGAAGCTAAGGGCCCATCGCCTGCGAAACAGTATACCTCCATTATCATAATTAGTATGGAAGTGATTCATTCAAAGCCTCTAACATCCAGGGATGGGGATGCAGCATTCACTGTGTCAACCCTCCTCAACTCACAATAGCGTCCTCTAAAGCACAGACCTGCCCACATTCCATTTTTGCACGGGATAGGTTCTGAATAGATTTCCCAAAAGACTACAAACTCTGAATTCCCACAC